AATAAAAAAATAAAATGTGTTTGTTGACCGAATTTTTAACAAATTATAAGGAAAACATCAGAAAATTAAATTATTTTAATAAACTTACATTGAAAAAGAAAAAAAAATAACATATTTTTAAATTAGGAAAGAGAGTATTTTGATTTTATTCAAACAATATAATTTTAGAGTATTTTTCTTTTAATTTTTTTGAGGTCATGTTGATAAACACTAATATTATAAAAAAAATACTATAATATTCCTTTTAAAAAGTGAACTCTAGCTTATATTGATAATTCAATTCTAAAAGGTAAAAATATACTTCGATGTTAAAAGGAAAAAACTTTAAATTATCATATAGAATATTAAAAAAATAAAAGAATATTAAAAAAAACTATAAATTTAAAGTTGTTTAAACAGATAATTAAAGTTTTTTGTTTTGGGTTTAATAGATAAGAAAATGTTTAAGAACCCTAATTTTTAATTAATTAATTGGCATAAATTCATTTTACTTGAATTATATCCTTATTTTTTGAAAATGTTTTATTTAGATCCTAAATATTTTCTCTACATTTGAAATAGTCCTTGAAATTTATACCATAAAAATAAAATTTTTAACAAACAAAAATTAAAGTACTATGTTAAATGTTTTTCAAAAGCTTAGGGGGTGGGCGGCTGCCCCCCCTTGTCCTTCATTGGCTCCAGTCCCTGGTTAGAGTACAGTAAAGGAACGGAGAAAGTTATGTGAAGACGACTTCTAGCTTTGGTACTTCCTTCCAACCATCTTTTCTTTTTGGTAGTATTTACTACATTAATTACTTCAGTCTTTATCTGACTCTTTCCAACTCCTCTTAAATTCCACTTCCAGGAAAATGAAGCAAGCCAAGACGACCACTTCCATGAAAATGAAGCAAGCCAAGACGAGGTTGGAAATATTTTGCTGCCTTATCTTTAAATAATGTTGACACTATTCCATGTCTGAAATTCCTGTTTTAACTTTTTCTTAACTTGCGGGAAATTCAAAAGATTCTGAAAAACTCTTCAAAGGTATGGCAATCTTGCTGCTTTATCTTTTGATGATGCTGTAATTACGTATATACAATGGAATTAGTGTTTTAACAATTTTAATTATTAATTTGGAGAACCTGTGGACAACTTTGGAGGAGTTATATATAGATGTTATGTTGCATTTCTAATTATAGAATGGCTGCTGTTTTAACATTTTCTTAACCTGCAGAACCTTGGAAGTGAAATGACTCAAACAGGGGGACTAGAGGGTGTCACTGCCGCGAACTCAAGTAGCTTGGGAGGTATGGTGAATTCAAGTATCTCTGGGGAAGTAGAGATTTTACAATTGTTGTTAGAGCAACTTGAACCTTGGCATGGCCCAAGGATTTTGGTGCACTTTGCCGGCCCACCTGGGGCTAAAACTTTGCTGCCATAAATTTTGAGGGCTAACTCTTTTGGTTTGAATGTGACAGCAATGGGTGATAGGTTGTGAAGGCTTGAATCAGAGAAAGACTTCTTCATTGATTAATAATACTGAACAAGAACATTACAATTTATAGAGGAATACAACTACTACATCTAGTCTAATTAGGAAACAATATATATAATATATACACAATTACAACTGCAGAATTTAGAAATTAGGGAGAAGATTTATTTCCCTTAATGCGCCTCCGCAAGACGGCAGTGCCATCAACAATGCCGATCTTGGACCGTAACCTGCAGAATCTGATGGAGGAGAGGGACTTGGTTAGACCATCAGCAAGTTGATCTTGAGATGCAATGTGAGAAACATGAAGCACAAGTTTATCAACCAAATCTCGAACGAAATGCAAGTCGATGGCTATATGCTTCATTCGAGAGTGCATAACGAGATTCACGCTAAGATATATAAGTGGCTCCAATGTTGTCACAAAAAATGGCCAGAGAGGAAGAGCAAGTGATCCCAAGCTACTTAAGTAACAAAATATTAATGTTAATAATTAAAATTAAAATATCACATCATTGAGCCTTTATCATTAGATTACGAATCCTAGTTCGCTAGTACAACCTAATTGATCCAAACAAGGTTGTTTTGTTGTTACCCTGACTTTATAATTTTGAAATTAGTACCAACGAAGTACTCCCTTTGTTCCAATATATTAGATGTTTTAGGAAGGGGATTTTGTTCCGTTTTATATGTTGTTTTGCGAAATTCAACGTTCCATTAATACCCCTTTTTTCACTTTTACCGTCCACTGCCCAACTGTATCCCACCATCACTCCACCAAGTTTAAAAAATTTGTGACTAATTTTTTTGCTCGAGCTAGCGGTCTGATGATTGCTGTCTCGAGCTAAAGAAATTACTTCTTGTGGAAGGTTTTAAAAATTAATTATTGAATTGGAAGTTTTGTTAGCATAGATTATATATATAAATTTTTATATTAATTTAGTAGATTTAATTATTTTGTTAATTATAAAAAATTTAATGTTATTAAATATATATTAATAAATACAATTTTTTATTAAAATATTAAAAATATATTACATATATTTAAAAATTAATAT